GGTTTGTCTTATGGGACTTGCTGGTGTCCTGTCTTCTGGCTTTCCTACATGTGTAGTCCTGTTTCCTCTGTGCCTGTCAGTAGTCAGCAGGTACTGGCTTGGTGGGGCCAGTGGCTTGGGCTTCATGGTGCTTGTTGACTGACATTTTGCATTGGGGCTTCTGGTTAACCAGTTTCTGTGTTGGGGATCCATGATTCCAAGTGGCCAGCATCCCACAGCTGATGTGCTGTGCTGCTGGTGTCCTTCTTTGTGGGTTTTTAGTGTGTCGTCGGGTTTTGTGGTTTTGCCCCTTTTAGGTTCCCAGGTTCCTGATCTGGGTTCTGCAGTCTTCTGTGGTATTTAAGTGGTTAGTTTTTGAAATAGGTTGAATTACCTTTCACTTAAGCAGATAAAAGAATGGTGTACTTTAATCTGACATAAATGCACACCAACCGATACCTTTTTAATACAATGTAAAGCTCTTAGCCAGTACAATAAAAGTTCAACAACAATACATCCTTTCAGTCCTTTTGACAGTTGAACTTCAACAATCATGAAAACAGTGGGATAGGAAGTGTGCTGAAAACATTTTAACTAACTATCTAAAATGCTCACATCAAATTGAATGGCACGTCAATGCTCCTTATCATTCATAGTTCGTCTCAGTTCACTGCATTACAGTTTTATCATTAAACCTGAGAAACATGTGAGTCATCTAAAGAGGCAACTATAAGGAAGAAAAGTCCATGACACTGGGGCCACTTTCATTAATGATCCTGTTAGCCATCATAAAACCAGTGGCCGTTGCCAGATCTGGAAAAAGATCAAATACATGATCAGTTTTAACCTGGAACCTGTGTACAGTACTACTGATATATCCTGTGCACTTTTTAAATAATTTTCTCATGCATACAATTGCATTGTAAAAAACAAAAATCATCATTAATCATCAGCTTTTGTTATTGTTATCATCATTAATTGTATTAACTTTAATTATCTAGTATTAGTATCTTACTAATATTAGTAAGTTACTAAATTTCAATGCCTGATTTTCCACTTTTCTCTGTGTCATTGTAGAGTTTGTTGTCTGTTAGTTGGGAATAATTAGCAATTTGATTATGTAGCATTAATGGCAAATTTGTAAAAGGAAAAAATAAATCTGGAATCATAGCATGTGTAACACTAACACTAACATCCCAGCCTTCATACTGCATCAGTTTGGTTATTCGATTTTCTAATGTTATGTGAACTAAACCACAAAACATACCTTGGTCATGAGCCTTTGCTTGTAGGAATCTTCTGAAGACGTGTCGGGACACAGCAGAATACGGTCCTGGTGACTCGCATGAACTGAAGTTTTCTGACATATCATAGACAGAAGTGACAAACAAATACACAAGAAATAAAACAAGGGTTAAAAATGTAATCACTATTTACATACACATTCAAAAGCTTCTTATTTTTACCCTGGACACTAGGGATGTCCAAAAAAACATAAAGTTCTTGAAATCAACCAAATTGATGTTTTTCCCATGTTACTAACTGTGTTTGGTCTAAAAACATTTTTAAAATGTTTTGCTGTTCGTGCTGAGGTACCTTAAAGACGATTTTCATTGGTACCCCCCTTTGCTTTACTATTCAAATCGAGCCCAGTCTAGGGATGAATATGCATTATAAAATTTTTGTTACATCAAAATTTAATGTTTGTGTCTTTTTCTAATACTTTAAAATTATTGAAGTTGTCCTATTTTTATTAAGCTGTATTGAAAGAAATTTTACAGGACAGGCCGGGGTTAAATTGATTTTCATTAGGTTTCATAATACTTTTATTACGTATAAAGGAAAAATGTAAAATAACTTTATTATTCTGGGTTTTTACACTTTGAACTGTGTTTTTACCTTGATAACTACTAAATTAACAATGGAAACCATTCTAAAAATGTATAACTGTGTTATAAATTGGTACGGCACGGTACGGATCGGCTGATGTGAATATACCCTTAGGCTGTGGTCTCTGCCTTTGTTTTGTTCATTGTACTACTTGCTTCATCCCTGAGCACTAACAATACATCAGTGCGTAGGTGCGAGACCTGTGAGAACCATCTGTTGTGTCAAGACCAGGCCTGGCACGGTCAATCGGGAGACTCTGGAGAATTCCTGGTTGGCCGTTTTGCTGTTGTGTCAGTCTGAAAGAAAATAATTGTATGTTTAAAATTCTACAACAATGCTTTAGAATGTTAACCAGCCAGTTTTCACATGTACAACAGACCTTGATTGCTCTGCGTAGATAAACACGCAAATACGCGACACATACAACCTTTACAACCCACAGTGTTCGTAGGACCTCTGGCACCACC